ATAAAGGTAGAGGAACTTCGACTAGCTTTAAGGCTGTATTTCGTCTTCGGAACTCTTGCAATTCTTCACCAGATTGCTGAGCGATATCCATATCCGTAGTCCTAAGTCAAGCGTGAGAGACCTCTGCTTGAAGGTGGTAATGGGGGAACCATTGGAGGCTGAGAAAACATAAAAGGGGTTTGGGAACCGCTTTTCAGGGCGCATTGGAGGGACAACGGATATGTCGGCTCCTGAGTTGATCAAAAATCGCATACCTGTTGATTTGTTGGGTAGTAAAAGGCGGTGGTGTAAGTGCCCATTAGCAGTCGACGCCACTACTCCCGGGCATTCTGGTTTCTTGACTGTGCGAGCGAGTCTGAAACAGTGTACCTGCAATGGGGCCCAAACTATCGAGCTACGCTGCCTAAGGTTGCATGATACTATCACAAACCTCGAGACGACGAGCGTGAAAAGCATCTTCGGCGGGAATATGAGCGGTTCCGTCTGAATGAGGTGGTGTATCTTCTCTCTCGTGCACCGTTAATTGTCAAGGCGTCGATTGCGGCTTCAATTTTGGCTAGCCGACCCTCCAAGGAAACAGGTGCTTGGTACGTGTCAGCGGGCAAAAATGCATGCGATAGTCTTTGGAGACTTGGGCCAACTTCAAAGATGTGAGCCGGTTTCGTTGCTTCTAATATGAGGTCTGCGGTATCCGCCAACTGTTCTGCTGTTGACGATTCAACCATGGGGACAAGGATAGGTTGGATATTGCTAGGAAGTCGTTTGAGAAAAAATACTTTCCAAAATTCGTCCCTCAAAGGTTCGTCGTTGGAGAGTTGACGCATCTTCATCAGGATCTGAGTAGGCTTCAAATCTTTTAAGTCATCGCGGGATAAAAGATGATTAATGCGTTCTGATGTGGTCATAAGGAAAGTCGATGTTGGGGTGAAGCAGTAAGTCTGAAACTTCGTTGGCCAATTCGCTACTCAAAAAAGAGATGAGGTGAGAGTATTTGGCGTGTTGGCTGACAATATTAGCGCCTCAAATTTGCGTTTCCGAAATGGCGAACCACCACGGAGCTGAATTCGGCCAGAATGGAGGCTGTTTTAGGCTGATCCCTTCTAGGGTAATTGAAGGTTTGCTTTCTTGATGGTCCATGTCGGGGTCACCGATTTGTAGGGGCCTAAATTAGCATTACCGCATAACCCTGTAGATAACAGCAGGTCACAACCCGAGAAAAGAGAAGACAGAGTCGAAAGTTAACACTACCGTTTAATCGCGTCATGTCAGTCAAGTCGAATCTAGTAAAATCGAGTAACTAACTTCTGTGTGTGTATCGATACGCGTGCGTTACAGGCGCCTGCCAACAAAAACCAATAACAAAGAGGATGAGTTATTGATACAGTCGGGGAAGCATTCATGCAGCACTTACTCGCGGTGGCTGTCTGTCCACGACAGTGTATTCAAGAAAAAATCGATTGATCTGTGTTCACTCGGGCTTGGAAACTGCGTTCACTCACAAATGTTAACTGTGCTGGCTTGCTAGTTGCCACACGTACATGCCAGCAACATCTAGCAAACTCCACTTCATTCAAATAAAACATTTTGACAAAAGCACTCAAGTGTGACGTGCCTATCATGTGGTCTTAGTACATATTTTGGACTTCCGCTATGAAACACGTACTAATAAATTAGGATACCTTGCCCCAGCAGGTTGTTTCTCACTTTACTTCTGCCTTGAGACCCTGTTTTGGCAAATATATGAAAAACAATGATCAAACCACCCAACGTCGTTCATGCTGCTGAAATACGTGTTGCAGGTAATGTCATTTTAATTCAATTCATCATGGTAAATAATTTGTAACGTGCCTAGCGAGGGGGGACCTAAATAGTCTCTCTTAGATAGCCACGCCATCATGGTTAGCTACCAGGCACACGATAGAAGAATAACTGGAAGCACCGGATGTATTCCATACTACCGCATACAAATTCAAAGGGCTAGAGCTTAGGGATAGTTAGAGCGGAAAAAGGGATGGCCACGAGGAGGGTCGGCGTTGCTTTCAGACTCATGGGCGAGTCTTGAGGAAGGCAAGAGTGCAAGAGGGAAGAGGAGGACAAAGAACAGGCCAGACCGGCGTGCGTGGGTCGAATGACGCGCGTTACACTGCCCTCTGTCGAGAAAAGTACTGCCCTCAGTGCTTTGTTGGGTGTGATGGATTGAGGACTTGTGGGGCGCGGATATTCCTGAATCGAGAGTTTTTTGCTACAAAGAAGAGACCGCAGTCATTATGGTGTTAGTCGTGGTGTCCGGATTCCTCCTTCCAGTCGACCACATTGGGAACACGCTGGTGTGCCGGGGGCTGGCCTGGCCTGTTCTTTCGAAAATCTTCGGAGAGGAAAGAAGTAGGAGTAATGTGATGCAGACGGAAAAACGGTGTGCAAGGGTAGGTTGAGTGTTGCGAGGAAGTGAGCTCGACACCGGTGCAGGGTAGGAAACATCAGAGGGTCACCGCTGCCACCAAAATGTAACACGTGAGCGGGGATCTGACCTAAGGGAGAAGAGATGGACTACTGATGAGTCAGCGAGAGACATGCAATTCAAGCAAACATTTGGAGCAAAGTGTGGGAGGGAGAAAGGAAGCATCTAGATGACTTTATTCAAAGCACGGTTAAAGAACGAACATAGGAGGAGGAGCATAAACGGAATGATAGGGTTCAGGAGACAGGAGACAATCCGTACACTAATTGTTGGCCAGGCCTAAAAAGTTAAAGATAAAGGAAGAAGTTATCAGGCATGAACAGAGTCCGATGTCATGGATTGTTGCGTGCGCGAAAAATTTTTATTCCAAAATATGCGTTTTTGTATAGTATGCGATTAAACAAGCTCGGTTATAATGCAGTTAATTTTGCTGATTCAGACTCATTCATTCGGTTGCCACACATTCATCCTCACTAACCCGTATAAACACGAGGGACCTCCTTCTAATGCACCTGTGTACATTTTTCATTCCCATTACCGTTTTGGTTCAAGTGACGATTCAGATATTTTTGTTTTACAAGCTCATATAAACGTTATTAGTTAGCGAACACATTATTCATCCACTATCTTGAATAAACACATCGGACAACTCAACTTAACTGTGACATCTAATAAACGGTTGTCACCACCGTCTCTTATATTTTGATCACTAATAAACTTTCAAGAATGTTACCAAATTCAAAAATTTAACCAATGATACAAGTAAAGAGCATCTAATTTCCGTGAATCGTCTTGTTATTATATGGTAAGTAATTACTCAATTTGACAAAAACGCCGAAATATACACAGGTCGAAATGGCTTTCAGATTTAACAAATCATTTGTGCATTCTTGTGTCACAGTATGTATGCAGTATTCTGTCGTTTAGAATAGTGATGCTTAAATTTTAGCATTTACATCATGGTAAAATGCTTCCATTTGTAATTTCAGATATTGTCAGCAATAGCAACACAATTTTTATGTTAGAAAATTTAATAAATAATTTTCTGCATTTTAATTAAATGCATATGCATTGAAAAGACTACGGGACAAGCCATTACTGGGCCATGGACGATTGCGCATACTCCAATGTTGAACAATTTTCATCTCTTCAGGCAAATTCCTTCAGCCATTAGGGAGCTACGTTTGCAGACTTGAAAGATTTTTGTGGTACTTGACTGGATGAGTGTTTTGTTAAAGCTCCCACTTCTCCAAACTAGGTTCATTTGTTTTCATTCTTTTAGAAAAGGGCGACCAAATTGAGCTGTGTGGAATTGGTTGGCTGGGGGTCGTTTTGTGCGATGTCGGTGTCATTGGCAAATATTGGCGAGCAGCAGCGACTTTTTGATGAGTGTTTTTATAATAATGAGGTAGTGAAGGCCGAATTAGTTGATAATGATCGTTGGTATGCTTCTTTTGGTGGAATTTCCTAGTGCCACTTAGGTTTATTATTAGCTGGGACTGGTTTAATAAATGGAGAACATTTATTCGCCGGTCTCATCCTGAAAACGGGTCGGCGTCTGGTACAGAAGGGAAAGGCGATGCACCGGGTCCAATTGATATGTCTTCGATTATGTGTATGTGCCATGAAATAATATGTTTACTGTTTAGGTGATGGTGATTTAAAACCCAATCTTATTTTGAATGCTGATGTGATAATGATCCCAGAAGCTTTGTTAGACAAACTTATTCTGTGGTACGGGCTTGTTGGTGATAAATCTGGTATTCCTTCTCGCAAAGTTTACCTTACTGCTGCTAAAGAACTCTCTCTGGACTTGTACCCACCAAAACTTATTTTAACTCCGAAGTCAAGTGGATTAAGAAAAATTGTAGCAGTGTTCAATTCTAAAGATAGCATTGGTAAGTCGAATTGGCGGTCTTACATTATTTTCGAAGGTAACGTGAAGGAAGAGATAAGAAAAGAAAATAAGCTGCATCGAGAACAGATTATCACTCTCTATGACGCACAAAATAAGGATAAGCTACCGGATAATGTTGATGCTACTTTAACGGAATGTAGTCTTGACGGCACGAAGGTAAAGTTGCATTGTCTGTAAGGTAAACGAAAATGCAAGTTAATGCCTCATGTTGTTGAGAATTGCAGCCTAATATCTAAACCATAGTCACTTGCATGTTAATTGTAGCTGACCATGCAACTTATTGATTTATTTTTGTAAAACGTTTCAGGTTGAGGTGGTTGCGAACCTTAAACCGTGCGTAATTTTATTGTTTCACTAGGCACCAGATACCATCCTCAAATAGACTTTCATGTTAATCGTGATTATCCTTCTTTTAGGAGCTGTATTACGAAGTAGGACCATCAAGGTATGGGTTTTCTAGTGCCAAATTATTTTGTGCTGACTTGGAACGTTGCAGCGTTCATTTATCCAGAGTTGCACACCTTATCAATGAGCCTAACGTGCGAATTTTTTAAATCCCCATGGCCTTGGTATAGAGTAATGGTTCGTCTGCCGTTTTGACGAAACGACATGATTAAGGTTTATTGTTGTTGATTTTATGTTTGTATTTATGAAGGCGACGAGGAGTGGTTTAGTAGCCTCGAGTGGGCCTTTAAGGCTACAGCTTAAGCTCATACCATTATGTTGTTACAGGAAGTGATTTATTAGAATCCACGTAGTGGAACCCATTTATTTGTTTGCGTTTTTGATAAGTAGGTTCGTTGTCATTGAATATCTGCCACCTTATTATTATTGTATCGCTTTTTTGAATTTAGGGGTTTGGCAAATGGAGATGGACCTTCGGGATTGTTAACTTATTCAGAAAGCCGGACTTCGTCTCTTCCTGTTGGCGTTTGTGGCTTGGGTAACCTTGGCAATACATGTTTTATGAACAGCGCAATTCAATGCATCTCGAATGTTGCTCCCCTCCGAGATTACTTCCTCACTGATCGGTTTAAGGAGGACATAAACGCCGAAAACAAACTTGGTTCTGGGGGTGAGATTGCCGAAGCGTTTGCAGAACTCATCCATCAGATGTGGGATGAAAACAATCGAGGTCGCTCTTGTGTGCCACGTTCGTTAAAAGTAACTGTCCTCTGCTTTTTTTACTCATGTGAGTGAGGTTTTGATATTTTCATGTCATCTAGTTTTACATTTCAAAAACAGCTCCCCAGTTTGCTGGATACCAGCAGCACGATGCTCAAGAGCTGATGAACTTCCTTTTGGATTTCCTCAATGAGGATTTGAACAAAGTTAAGCAGAAACCCTACATCGAAGTAAGAGATGCTGATGGTCGTCCAGATGAGGTGGGTTTTTTTTGCGCTCCTTTCATACCTCCCTATCCCCTTCGAATAATGTTCTTTTTGTGTTGGACTTTTACCGACCCCCATTTCGTTGTTTGCATTCGCGGGCGTGTTTAAGGTCTGAATGGTGGGATGAGGTAAACTAGACAAAGATGAGTATTTTGAAGTGCTAAGTCACTTCAAATTGTCCGCGACCGTTATCAAAACTGTAATACCTAACAACCAATTTTTGGAGCCCCTTAGAGTCTGTTCATACGTAAATTGGTTGTTTGGCGCATGGTTATGCTTTAATCCACTCATGCTGAACATTGTGTTTTGATTTGCAAACTTGGCTTGCCATTTTCTTTTTATTTCAGTCTCTTTGTTATCTGAAACTGTATTGAGCGTTTTGCGTTCAAGCCCACTCTACACAATTTCTCAATTGGAAACTGTGGCCGTGTAGTTTTTTTTTGAAACCAGTCCAACTGACCCAAACAATGTCAGTTATTTTTGCATCTTAAATAGGTGGTGGCCGCGGAGTCTTGGTCGAACTTCAAAAAGCGTAATGACTCCATCGTTGTGGATCTTTTCTACGGTCTGCTCAAGTCCACAGTAATCTGCCCTGAATGTAACTACGTTTCCGTAACTTTCGATCCCTTCGGTTCCCTAAGTCTTCCCTTGCCCAACCATAGTGTAGACGTGTTTGTCTGGCCCTTTACCAGGCACACGTTATACGTTCCGCCCGGTTGCCGTATAACAGACATCCTCACTTCCCTCAAACGAGTGCGTTGTCTGCCAGCCGGGCATGAGGTAAGTTGGTCGTAAATGTCAATGCTCACGAAAATTATTCCGTCGCCCACTAAGTTCATTCCGCAGTGGAACCATCCAGCTTTCCAACCACTCGTAGCACTCATCTAAAGGTTATTGTAACGGCACTGAAGCCAGCTGATTTCACTAATTGTAGAACTGATTTTGTTAGTTCCCTCTGGTTTGCTGTAGCCCATAACTCACCAAGCTAGCTTATATTTCTTCTCAAATCTTCGAATACCTATCTTGACTAATCCTCTGTCTTGTGGCTGATATATGTATTCACACAGACGATATTTTACTGGCAGTAATGCAACTGTGAAATCGCATGTTTCCAATTACCTTTATGCAGAATTATGGATTTATACTTGTAGGCGCAGCTGTCTATCAGCATTTCATGATTTTGCTGTGCTTTGGGTAATTAGGAGACGACGGAGCAAATCTGAGTCATGATAAGCCATGAGCGGTGTAAAGAGGAGACAACGTTGCACCACGCGTGATATGTTGTGTTCAGTGTGGCTTTAGCCACGGGCTATCTTCGCATGCCTTTTAATACTCGGGCCATGTACCAACAAATTCTCTCCCTATCCAATAAATAGACTTTTTAGCTGAAACAGTGTCTTTCTGGCTGTGGTTGCTGGATGGCAATGTGCGATTTAGTGCTGCTGGACGGGATAGACAGCTTAGCACATGGCAGGCCATCCGATGTTGTGTTGAATTTTAAGCTATTAATCAATTGTCGAAACAACTGTTCCGAAATTTCCCGATGTTTCTATGAAAATGTGTGACTTTTTCCAGGACCCTCGATTTTGTTGATTGTCTAGTTTTGTGGTGTATCATTAGATGCTGCCATTCTGCGTTTATTGGGTTGATCGGTTGCTTACATTGGTAGCCAATTTTTCGTATACTGTGTCCAGGGGCAGTGGTTTTCGTAGGGGGCATGATCCAAGACACATTTAGACGTCGCAATATTCAAAAACGTTGTTATGTGAGTGCGTAGTGGTTGTCGAAATTACCAGATTTGCAAACGCCATTGAATTTAATTGAATTGTAGTAATGTCACTTTTATAGATCATTATTGGTGTATGCTATGAATCCGAGGCTGTCAGAGTCCCAGACTGAATAAAGGTGTAGTATGTCGTGCTGTCGTGCATTTAAGTTCAGCAATTTGGTGGGAGGACGGGAGTCCAAATGGTCGATGATGTGCCTTATGCCCGCCCCCAACGGTCTAGTATGTCACCTCTAACCACTCTTTCCCCCACATTTTTGTAGTATGTAGTTGCGAGGTTTATCAACAACAACAACTTGGAGGTGATTCCCCGCACATCGAACGAAAATCTGTACAAACACCAGCTTCACGTATTTGACCTAGTTAAGGGCTCTGTCGTCCCGGTTGTCTTGCAAGTAAATGGGTAAGTAACCTCCTGTATGCTCGGCGCTTAGTGGTGCCTTACATACGCATTTGTGACTTCTTATAGGAGAGTGGAGCATCGCCCATTTCTGATCAGTCTTGAGAATTACCAACCGCGGGCATCGAAGCAGGACGTCATTCGCGGGGTCAGATCACAGCTCTCGGCAATATCCGCGGAGTGCGAGAAACAGTTTGAAGACTTCGCCAATAGTGGACAATTGAAATTTATCCCTGATGGCGAAATTTTTGAAATCGACCGTAAGTCTGCTTGTCTGCGTGTTTGGTCTAAACGCCTATTTGGTTTTAACAGCTCGACAAGTCAAAAGTCCGTGATTTCCGTGTAGCCCCAGTCCCAGCCCCAGCCCCAGCCATACGTTGAAAAGGAACGGTGTTAGCGTGAGCCCCATTTACTAGGTTGATAGCTTTGGCTATTGTGGTGCCCTTAAAAGGCCAAGATTAGACTCCTGTTGCCGTGATAGTTTTTGGTGTCATTGAATGTGCAATTCGTCCAAATCCGATAAGTGTGGTCTGCATGGCTGCCAGCAGTGGCTATTCTGAAGCTACGACGTCAGCCATTAAACAGCGATCCATGCCGATTCACCATGGAGGCGTGCAGTTACTTTTGTTAGCCAACTTTAGCCTCTGCTTGTTCGCTCAGTTCTTCAGATTAGTCAGCTGTGAGCAGTATGTAATGAAGTCGATGATATATTTCGATGAAAAGAAGTGCGACTTCAGCATGATATTTGTGAATCAGAAGTAATACATGGGCCGTGCGTTTTAACTTGCACCCATTATAAGGGATATTTTTGGCCAGATTGGATTTAGGTACACCTGCCACTTATTTCCAGTCGCGTGTGACTTTGGTTGAGCTTAGGGAACAAAAGGCAAGCGACTTGCGGTGCACAAATAAATTTCGCTAAATTGGTGCCCCAGCAGTGTGTTGAGTTACTTGGCCAGGTGTAAGTGTTCACAAACATCTCAGAACCGAAATCCCACAGGCACTTGCCACGTTAGGATAAAGCGTATTCGATTTCGCGATGTTTTGAGTAGCTTTGTTGTTTTCAAGTAATCGATCCTGATGTGTGCGTGTGTGTGTGTGCTGGGCAAATATGTGTAGTTTTATGCTGTGTCTCGTCAAATGGCAGTTGCTGTTAGTGACGGACGCGACGGACCATTTGTTGCAACAACGCAGCGAGAATGTCGCTTTCGACTGAGTCATGTGTAGGCACGTAATTGATGCAGCCACCGTAGGTCTCGTTCCAAGTTCTAGTTCAAGGTGAAGCTTTTATGGCAGTCCTTTTTACTGTTATGTTGTGCCAACTTCTCATATTGCGAACCCCTTTAATATTATATGTGGTCTTCTCTCTCTATACTTCCTCGACGACCATGACTTTTTATCGTTTCTGATTAATACTCCATTGGGTTGTCTACCTTATTGTAATGGAACTCGGCACTCGTGGCCTGGGATTCTGTTTACGGTGTATGTTAGAAAACGGTTCACCTGGTCACAAGAGAGGTTGTTCTGTCTTTATCTCGGTTTACTCTTTAGCCGAGAAGCCCATCCTTATTGAAATGCCCCAACATTTGAAGTGGAATTTCCACGAGGACACCGAGAAACATCACGTGCGGCTAGCCGACTGCCTTGACCTTTTCCTCGCAACCGAGCAACTCAGTGATCGGGATCCGTGGTATTGCACAAAGTGCAAAGAACACCGTCAAGCCTTCAAAAAATTCGACATATGGTCGCTACCCCGTGTCCTTGTAATTCACCTGAAACGCTACCGCAACGGCCTCCGGTTGCATAAAAACGAAACTTTTGTCTCCTGTCCAGAAACGTGAGTAAGCGCGGAGTAGCTGGAAGCCTTTTCTTCCTTTTTTATCTTTTGTCCATGTTTTGGTCGCTTCATAATGGGTTGACTTTCTATTAGTTTTACTCTGCAACGGCGACGCATTTTCGAGTTTAAAGTAGGCAGGAACGGGGCGGTAAAGTTGTTGTTTCCTCAACACTACTTGACCTGTAGTTGATTTAGTCTATCTGAACTCCCTCTTTCGGAGTTTTGTTTGTAGTCGGTAGTTGGTGTGTAGGCCGTGAGGAAATTGCTTGTGTAAACCAGGCAGCCGCCGAGACACTTGTTGCATTGAAATTCGACGTTTCTTTCATAGCCTTTGGAGGTACCTCAAACCTCCTTAAACCGACTTCGATTTTCGAAGCAGTTATTTGGGTAAGGGGAACGTTACTTTGCTTTAGTAGTCATGGATTTTTCTAATTCCTCAAGCCTAGAAGATGTGCTGTTTTAATCTTTTCAGGGGTCTAGAAGTCACCTGCGCCAAAGGTAAATTTGTCTACGACCTGGTTGCGGTGAGCAACCATATGGGTGGAGTTGGTGGCGGTCACTACACGGCGTACGCCAAAAACGGGGATGCATGGTACAACTTCGATGATAGCTTTGTCAGCAAAGTCAACGGGCCTGTTGTGGTAGGTAGTTTGTTCCTCGCCCTCCTAAATTCTTTCGCTTTCCAACTGCTGTCATTCTAGCTTAGATCAACTCACTTTTTTATGTTGGTAGTGGCGCTATAGGCTCTCACAATGCCACCCTCTGCCACTCATCACACTCGATTTATCAGCCGACTGTTCTCAGACCCCACGTCCCTTCATTGTCTTATGCCAGTGTCCTTCCGTTGCTAGTTAGATTTGGTGCTGTTCGTGTGCGTATTTAAATGCCCACGGTGTGAGTGTCCTCTTCGTGACGGATCGCGTTGCTCAGGTCGCAGCGGTAACACTGGCAGCCGCACACCTTATGAGTAATTTATTGGTTCATTTGAAGTTGGTGACGGTCAGTTTGTTTCCCGTAATCACTGCGAACGGACCATCTTAGAGTTCTGGGCCTAGTAAGAATATTGTAAAATTTGATAGGCTCGGTGTGGTTAGGGTATTTCTCCAACCACATGGAAACCTGCCAATTGGTAATTTTCATGCCACTGTATCACTTCATTTCGAGGCGCTGTTATTCCAATTATATCGGCCCGTTATAACTGGACACTGAACAGCCTTCGTAGTCTTGATTTACTGTAAGTGTGCGGGTGCTATTAGCCTATGTCTGTTGCTCGCACACACCATTGAAGTTTCGTTAGTAGGAAGTCGACTCTTGAATTATTTGCTAAAAATGTTGCGTACCTCGAGGAGCCAAAGCTTCATCTATTCGCTTTCACCTTCCCAAGCGCTTGGACTCTAGGACCTTATTCTGCAGGAGAGCTCACTAAAGAGTTCAATCTGAAGCCTCAATGCTAGACGTGTGTAACTGTTGAGGTCTCATAGTCGACTTATCGCGCCCGAAACCAACACAGGTCATACGGGCTGCGAGCTGTGCACTGCGCCCACGCCATCCAGATGATGGACGACGAACGCGCACATCCGTGACAAAGCAGTGCCGGAATAGTGTTTTTAAATGGATAATTGTCCTTATAGGTTGAACATGTAGCACAAGAATGTGTACGCGTGAACAAGTTTTTTGGCCTCAGTCTCAATCGTTAATTGATTTGGCTACGTAACCAACTTTAGTGAGCATTGCTGCAGGAAAGTTTGTTCTCCTGGCTGCCGTCCTTGTCTTGGTGTTTACAAAATGCTGTTCTTTCTTGTTTCTAGCATAATTCTACATTGGTTTATTGCCTTAGTTATCCACCATATCAACTTTCATTTGCCTTTAGACCCGCAATGCATACTTCCTCGTTTACATGTTGAATGATGCTACCTCCAACAGCACTGACGTTTGCACAAATGGATGCTGAAGCGTCATCAGATCCGTGACTCGCCTTTGCCTCCTTCACTGCACGCTAGATGCACTGTCTCCCGAGCATGGTCGTTTGCAATGTGGTTGTACTTTTGCGCGCATCTGGTTGCGTTTATCCGCGTATCCTGCTTGTATTGTTGTCGCGGAACCTAATAAACCAATTTGATGATGATCCCGAGTGTAATGTTTTGTAAAAGGAGCATTGCCGGAAAGTTGTCTTGCTTCGACTGAACACCCTTCAAGCATAAAGGCTTTAACTTTCGCAGTTTGTCTTCAGGATTTGGGTTATTTGTGTTAAAGGTTTTTTTGCATCTTCCGCACTGTCATTCGCAAGGAATTTTCATTCGATGTAAGTGCGAGTGGTTCTCAATTAGGGTGTCTTCACGGTTGGGTAGGTTTGATTGTTCCCGTAAATTACTCTTGCACCGGGGATCTACAATCTCTGGTGCCTCAGCTTTGTAAATCACTTCTGATTCTGAATTTTACAGTTTACATGCTATTTAAAACTATCATTGTTTTGTGTATCCGCGACTTGGTGTATTTGAAATCCTGCCCTGGTCGCTCCTAATGTCTTACTGTCGTGCTTAGTCCTGCAAGCCCTTCAAGTAAATGAAAGCCCGTTTTGGAAAGCGAAGTTGGTGTTCGGAAGGGCATGTTTTTGGTTTTATAAAAGTGTGTGTGTGTGTGTGTACTTAAATTGCATGTGAAGTCCAGAATATTAAGTCGTTCGTTTTCACTACTCACTTTTATGCAAACGTTTATGAGTTCGAGTGAAGTCAGGTGTGGGAAAAAATAAATGTGTTGATGGCTGTCGTAGGTTGTAATGTCTGCAGTCCATTTGGTGTGTATGCATGTACAAGGTTTGCTGTGCTACAGAGCACTGGATATCTGACAATTGAGCACACTTATCCTCTGGACACAGGTAAGGTATTGACACCCGAGACTACACCTTCCACTATCACCAGGAGATAAGAGTTAGTTTGTTCAGTTGTCGCTTCGAGGTGGCCAAGCGGTAAAATAAAATGCGACTACGAATTTGACGCAGCTTGATTTGATAGTTGGGGAATGAATCGAGTTGGAGCAATACTGGATGCTCTGTTAAAGGGAGGGCAATAATAGGGATGTGAAATGGCAGTGCGACTGCTTAGCATGAATCGCGGTCCATGCTCTAAATTATTTGGTCTTAAAACCTTTCAAACGAACAGTATTCTTATAAAATCACGATTAGTGTGGAAGAGGTGGATCAGTCGCTGAAACGAATGAAGAAGGGTTACGTCTGTTCTGAACCTTGTGACATGTCGTTGTATTATGGTTAATATTACTACAGTGAGGGCTTGTGTGTCACATGCTTCAATAAAGGTCCAAATTGAAGCCAACACAAATGCCACACGCGGTTCCCGTCGTGGCGATGTCAACGCATGCACAAACGGCCTTCATTATCGGCCTGTCGCCCAAGCAGATTAGTCGTGATGAGTACAATTCTTGCACGTCAACTCGCTGGCACGTGTGGTTAATCGATAATTTAATTGTAGCTGATGACGAGTGCAGATGAGGCTGTGAAAACCGTATTCCCCAAATCCCATTTCTATCTTGAGGAAGCGTTATGCGAAGCAGCTCGCACAAACGATTTGAGCAAAACCCGACGTATTTTAATGGAACGTGTTGACCCCAACTGGCTCAACGGTTTCGGACTCTCGCCCCTCCATATCGCCTGTCAAAACGGTAGTTTTGAAGCTGCAAAAATGTTGATTTGCAACAACGCTTTAGTGGACTTTGAAAACGCAGTTGGCGTCACACCACTGCACCTGGCAGCTAAGAATAACCACATAAAATGTGCACAGCTGCTTCTCTTGTGTGGTGCTGTTGCCTCTAAGCCAACTTGGTCCCGGTGTACGCCAAGGGAGTATGCACCAAGTGGAAGTAAACTGAGGAAAATACTGGAACAAGCTGAACTAGGAACACTGCCAGATCCTAAGCAAGTTTTCGAGACTTCAATGGACCCCTTGGTACCGAAATTTTCGATTCCACCCAAACCCTCTGATAAATAGTCAAAAATGACGCCACGTTGGATAACACAATTAGCTAGACGCTAAGGCAATGTGTGCCAGTTTGTTTTTAATATAATGTGCAGGAGCATTTGACATCTTGATATTGTAGAAATTTTAAACGTCATGGTTTTGAAGTATAATATTTGCTATGACCAGTCGAACGGTTCTAATGCATCTTTAAGCCTGGTCATGTGGGTGTCGCAAGGGCTATGGAAATGTTCTACCTACGTTCTGGTGAAAAGTAAGCTGACGATTCGGTGTCCTTGAGTGTACGGTAGGAGCTCAGCTCCACAACGGTGCCCTCCTCTTGTACACGTCCAGTGGAGGCTGAAATGTAACGATAATTTGTGACTCATTAAAGAGTCATGCTAAAATAAGGAGCACTTTGCTATTGCCATACAATTTCAATGATAACTTTACCTCTGAATTCGCAGTGCAGCACAATCGGTGATAATTGTCGGTGGAATTATTGTAGCAATTTAATGTGACAAGGTGGCATACTGGATTCTTGGGTATTCGTTTGCCTTGATGACAAATAGAGCCAGTATTTTGCCAAAAAGTGCCCACCTCGATGTGTCTGTCTGCTATAAATGCTCCATAGAGTTACGATATCAGTGCTACTCAATTTGCAACAATAGAATCTTATTTGGCTTTGCAGGTTTATGATATAATGGTGACCTGATAAACATGCTGACCCCAATGTAACCCAACTCAAAATAGCATTGAAGACTACGTGAATAGATCAAGATTATGTAGCGATCGAACGCTGCCGTACTTTTCCTTGCGAATACCTGTCTACATTTTGGGCGTGTGTTATGCAGTGAGACCATGATTTCCAGATGTGGGCTCCTGTTAGGGCTTAAGTATTCCATAATCATCTTCACAGGTTACTTGGGTGTTTGAGTGTTTGGTGAATTGCCACGTGGTTCATTAAGCGAATTGTAGCAAATAATTGTCGCTACGACAACCACCTGACAGTGGCGTGGTGCACGCCTCCCTCCCTCGCCCAACCGTGCATTTGCCCTTCTATTGCCCCACTGATTTGCTCTCCTTTCCCATCTCCCACTTCATTGCACGTACGAAGTGTGTGGGGCAATCAGACCTTCGATAATAGCCCGCCCCTCATGCGAACTCATTTGCAGTTATTTTAATGACCACTTTATGCTAACGTATGATTTAAAATCTGACGAGGTTTAATAAAGTGTGTGGTACAATTTGCGTAGAAACTGCCACAGTGGTTTTGCTTGAGTTCAGTTCATAGCCCCGTTGTCAACACCTTGTTTTTCCCCCGCCCCTGTGAGGCGTAAGCTTGTGTAATTGAAGGCGCCTCTTGTTGACTTCCAGTTTCGCCTCTTGGAGCCAAACGTACTATGCATTCTGGGAAAGAGCAAAACGCATTTATTTGGCACATCTCAAAACAGGATTGAAATGCAATTAGTGGCAGTACAATCGCCTCTTGTGTGTGCGTTTCTCGGAATGAACTTTTCTGCCGCATCTCCAAAATACATTTTCTTTTGAAATGAATGTATTAGAATATCTTTGTACCGGATATTTTTGGTTCCATCTAAAGCACTGTTTTCCCATGGTGCTGGATCCCATATAGTGCGACACAGCTAAACGCTCGACCGACCAGTTTAGGAAACATTAAATTACATTTACTTCGTGTGGGCTAGTACGTTTTGAATTTTCAGTGCCCGGTGTCGTCAATATTCTACCTCGGGCTACACGGGATTGAATTAGTCGCTTTGTCTTCATTGGTGTGATGCAAGTCGTGGTCTTACTTTATTCATAACCACAAGCGCTGCGCTGAAAGCGCGAACGTATGAAAGGGAGTTCAATGGCGGTGTTCGCATTGGAACTTTGAGGCTAATAGCTGTCTATGTGTTTATACACAAGCCCACAAATTGCGCACTGCTGAAGCCCACAGTTACGACACGGCCGTTTGTGTCTCATAGTTTGGCTAGCTCTCATAACATACAACGAGCACAGCATTAAGGCAATAGGGTGCGATGTCGTCATTCTGGTATTGACCAAGTCTTATGCTCATGGACACCCTACTTCAGGTTAGCACAGCGCACATAATGGGCAAACATTTGCCATTGGAATCAGTCACGTGTAAGCCTAATTACGGACTTGAAAAGGAGGTCCCTAGCCTCCTGCTTAGAATTTTCATTTGAATATAATGTATCTTTGGATGCAAATTTTAAATATCACATAGAGGCAAGGAGGTCTTGAATTGACGCTTTTCGACTAACGCTAGCTTTGCAGCAAACCTGGCAGTTACCAGTAACGCACTTGGGACCCGGGTCTATTTCAGAGGTCACAATACAAAAACTCTGGCATCGTGCCTGATGAAGACATGAGTGCAAGAGGACAGTGTTCTTGGGATGTAGCATGAAGTGGAGGATGAGCGAGGTTGAGTTGATATAAGTTTGCTCATTGCCTTCCTCAAATTATCAATGTAGCTGCTTGTGTCCGGCCATAACGGTGAGGATGCTGGCGTGAAAAATTGCCCAGGAATTCTAAATTTTGTGCCCAAAACCATTTCTGCAGAGGAACAACCCAAGTCTTCCTTTACAGCTGATCGAATACCTAGTAGCACGAGGGGTAACACATACGACCAACGAGATGGGTCACTTTGAGTGATTAAAGCAGCTTTCAGTTGTCGGTGAAAACGTTCTACCATGCCATTTGACTGAGGGTGGTAGGCGGTCGTTCTAATACGGTTCGTCTCCAGAAGTCGTGTGAGATTTCGGAACAGGCCTGATTTAAACTGAGTGCCTCGATCTGTGGTGATGGTGGAGGGGACTCCAAATAAGGCAACCCATCTGTCAACGAATGTCCTAGCTACGGTTTTGGCAGAGATGTCTTGCATCGGAAAAGCGTCTTGCCAGCGAGTAAAACGGTCAACGCAAGGCAAAGTGTAACAGAAACCTCTTGAGTGCGGTAGGAGTCCAACGATGTCAAGGTGTGCATGATCAAAACGAGCATCTGGGACGTTAAAGTGTCCAACAGGGGTCTTGCTGTGTTTGTCCGCCTTCGATATTTGACAGTTTATACAAGTGTCAGTCCACTGTAAAACATGGCGATTCATGGCAGGCCAAACATAACGACTTGAGATCAGTTTACGTGTTGCACGCCGACCAGGATTAGCAAGACTGTGAAGGGCTTGGAACCCCTGGCGTCGCATCGGCTTCGATACGAAAGGACGCTGCACACCCGTTGTAATGTCGCAGACGACTGTACTTGTGGATAAAGGTAGAGGAACTTCGACTAGCTTTAAGGCTGTATTTCGTCTTCGGAACTCTTGCAATTCTTCACCAGATTGCTGATCGATATCCATTTCCTCGAAATCCACATTTGTACCTGTATTTACAGCGTCGATGTGCGAGCGAGATAGTGTGTCGGCGGCTGTATTGTCATTACCTTGGATGTGACGAATATCAGTTGAATACTGTAAAATATTATCCAAGTGCCTAGATCCCCTCGGTGACAAACGATTCGAACTCCAGCGGCTTGCAAAGGGCAGCGGTTTACGGTCGGTGTAGATAGTGAATTTTCAACCCTCAAGAAGATACCTGATGTGTTTGGCCTCCAGGTAGATTGCCAGACACTCACGATCGAAGGTGCTGTAACGCTTCTAAGCTTTGTTGAACTTGGCTGAAAAATGAGCCAGTGGCTGCGCTGACACGTCGACGGTTTGCTGTAATACTGCTTTAGCTGCTGAAAGGGACGCATCTGTTAGTAGAGATAGGTGGCATCTGATCGTTGAAACACGAGTGTGATTGTCGTTGCCGAAGCCCCCTTTGCGACCGTACAAGCTTCACGTGCCTCGTCCGTCAGGGTTAGATTTTTAGAGCGATCTTTGAGCAAATTTTTTGGAGGCAGAAGGACCTGAGCTGCATTGGGTAGGAATCGGCGGTAGAAATTGATCATGCACAAGAAACGTCGAAGTCGCTTGATGGACTTCGTTTCCGGGTATTCTCGAATCTCTTTTATCTTAATATCGGTGGGCCTTTCACCTGCAGCGGAGACGGTGTGTTTCAGGAATTCAAGTTCTGAAACTCCGAAAACACATTTGACGGATTAATAATCAAACCACATTCGTTAAGGCGTCGAAAGACAATGTCAAAGTGTCTCAGGTGCTCCTCTTGGTTTTCACTGGCAACCAGATCATCGTTGATATACGAAAAGACAACATCCAAACCAGATAATACTTAGTGGATGAAACGCTGAAATCTTTGAGCTGCATTTCGTAAGCCGAAAGGCATTCGCACGAACTCGAACAAACCGAATGGTGTAGCAATAGCCGTCTCAGGGATATCAGATGGTTCGACGTGTATGTGATAATAGGCGTGCATTAAACCTAATCAGGAAAAAAAGGATTTTTGGTGTAGATTCGACGAAAAATCATGCAGATTTGGCATTGGGTAGCGATCAGGAATTGTAATTGCGTTTAAGGCACGATAATCACCACATGGCAGCCATTCACCAGCAGCTTTCTTGGGAATCGTATGCAGACCTGATGACCAATCACTGTCCGATCGTCGGACTATGCCAAGCTGTAACATGTGTTCGAATTCTTGTTTAGCTGTTGAGCGTCGGGTTGGGGAGAGTCGGCGTACTCAGCGGGCATTAGTGGGGTGACCCTTTGTCAAGATTTTGTGCATGACATTGTGACGAACCTCAGTTTTCCGGTGAGTTTGGTTAATTAGGTCTGGATATTTTTGCATTAAGGCCAAGTAGAGGACGCTTTTAACTCGTAAGCATCAGTCCTTTCCGGGCAGTCCCATTAGGTGCATTCACGAAAATCGTTTGAATCGTGTTTGCTCACGCCTGCTGCTCGCCACAACTCCAACCATGCTGTTTTTGGTTTGAATGTCATGTAGTCCTCCTCATAAATCTCCACAATTGGTCAGTTTGTACCTCCAACCAGCCCGAAATGTGACCACACTTTTCTATCACATACAACACTTGAGTCGCATGCTTGCCATTCAAGC